CCCGGAGAACTCAGAGCAGGGCCTTCCAGCGCTGGCCGCAGGAGCAGCTGTCTGGGCCTTCCGCGTGGGAGCCTGTAAACGAAGGCACAGGCTTTGGGGGCTGCGGTCCATGTTCAGAACACCACCTGGGTGGGGCAAGTCAAAAGCAAGCTCCCTGTGGTTCTTAAGAATCCTTTTCCCCCCATCACACCAAACCCATTCTTAAAAAATGTGTTACTGGAAGTGTGCGGTAACTGAGAGGCTGTGCCCAGTCTCGGGGGAGCACTGGCTGTGCCCCATGCCAGGAACGGTTAGCAGCCTCCAGTATCGATGGCCTCTGCTGCCCAGAGTGATAGGCTGCGTTGTGTTTCCAGCTTCCAGGAGTCCCTCTCCAAAGCCCTGGATGCTTATGAAGCAAAGGAAGACGCAGCCATTCAGAAGGTAAGACTCTGTGGGTATTGGGGTTCAGGGGGGTGATGGGGGCTGACTTCTGCTTTGAGTTCCTCTTTGTACTCCATCTGCCTTAATTACAGGCTGCAGCGCACATCCGAGAAGTGGAGCAGAAGAGACAAGAGATGGTTCGGGCCATCTTAGAGGTTTGTGTGCCCAAGTTCAAAGCGGGCAGTATCCATCATGGTGTTCACGGTGGTTTCTGTAGAACTGTCATGCTCAGGCTGCCCATCTTCGCCCACCCCCACCTCATTTAAACTCAGAGCCATCTGCCAACTTGAACTGGTAATTCCCCTTCCCCATGAATGCATGAGGAAAGTATGGGCAGAGAATAGCAGGCATTACAAGTGCAGTGAGTGTTTTCTCTCATCCCAGGCCTGCTCCTGCAAATAGACACCATCCCAGGGATTAGGGCTTTACTTGGCTTTTTAAGTTCAGTTTAAAACACCTTGTGAAGCGAGTGGGAGAGGATCCTGCTGGGTATCAATTGGGGTTCACTGAGGTCTGCGGGGACTGTGATGCCTATTCCTGGCATAAGACCTTTCTCCTCTGTTGCTTACAGACTTTTTGCATTTCTTTGGCATGGTCTTCCCTGCTGAGCCCCTTTCTTCCCCCCCTCTGGATAGGGGAAAATGTTTGAGCTTCCGGGTATTATTAGTGCTCTGGCATATGTGTTATTTTGAATGTCATTTAATTGTATTATCAACAACTTTTTACATTTTTCTTTGGAGAAATACTCTTGGCTAGGGGTATTTCCTTTGCTGGCAATAAAACATCAACGTCTCCTTGTCACATCCTGACCCATGTTCCAAAAGGATTGAATTGTGGTCTCTGTTGCAAGATGGCATCTGTGCCTGAATCCATTCCATCTTAACACCCCCGATTACATTTCAAGGGATCTCCTACATTGCAAAATGCATTGTTGTCTCTTGAAACAAGTGTTTTTTTCCTGAATTAAACTCAGCCACAGAGAGCAAGCACGCTAGGTGATGGAACCACCGCTGTCAACACCTTTGCAGGGAATTTAAGGTAGGAGTTACACTAATCAGAGGCCTTCTTGCTTCTGTACCCCTGTGCTATTCCTGGCGATATTGTCTTCACGTTACCTTGATGTTAAATTGTAACGAAGCCTTTTTTGCTTGTGCTGACACATTTTCTATGTTGTAGTGATTCTCCTTTTGCTATGGAAGAGCAGGAGCAGCCTGGGCCAAGCAGGAGCACCACCTTTCTTAGAGAGGAGCCTACCTGTGCCAGCCGAACAGCACCTGAGCTACACTACCTGGAAACAGGGCAGCCCTTAACTTTCATTGGCCATCAGGTACTCAGTTAGGAATTCTGTTGCCTCTCTTCCCCAGCAGCAGCAATGACATCCGAGCGGTGAGTTTCTGCCCTGGTTGCGGTCCAGCCTGAAATCCAGTCTCTTTATCTTACGCTCTGCTTCCCGTGACTTGCGAAGGGGGGGGATGTTGCCCGCTGCTATCTGCTGGACTGGGCAGCCAATCCTGTTTGCAACTTTGCCTGTGTCGTTTCTCAACTCCCCAACCCCCTACTAACTTGGGGTTTTCCTTCATTATTTCAAACACAGGAAACAGGAGGGGAGGGCAACATTCACACAGGTAGGTTTGTGAAGATACGAGTCAGCTTTCTGAAATGCCTGCTCTGAACTAGGCTTTGCCCTTTATGGACATACGGTTTGCAAGGGGAAAGAATCTTTATGTTCAAACGATGCAGTGAATCGTAAATTTACCAACTACGTTTTAGTCTAATGTGGTTAACCATGAATTGCATGTCGCATGGTTGCACATGGCTGTGTGGCAGATGCAGCTGAATCCTCAAGCATGTCCTAAGGACCTGTTCTTATATTGTCTGGCTTTGTACTGTTTTGATAATGGTCAATTTAACTTGGGCATATGAAGAGAAACATATGGGGCTTTCCTGACCTGTCCACCTTTCCATCTTGAGGAGCAAAACCCCCCTGGCTGATGAGTGAAGAGGAGGAAGGTGAAAGGCAGATTGGACCCTCATATGAAGAATTTCTTAAGGAAAGTGAGTATGCAAAGGTTTGGCCATGTGGTGGTCAGTGGGGAGAATTGAGCAAAGAACGACTTGTGGCTCAACCTTTTGTTCTTCTGCCCTGTTTAAAGAACAGAAACAGAAGCTGAAAAAGCTCCCTCCCAACCGCGTTGGGGCCAACTTTGACCACTCCTCCCAGACAGGAGACAGCTGGCTTCCCTCCTTTGGCCGCGTCTGGAATCAAGGTAGAAGGTGGCAATCCAGGTAAAGACGTGCCTCCCTCTGGGAAGGCCAGAGGCGCCAACCGCTGTAGCAGAGACATGCTGCTAATGTGCCTTAGAGAGAGACATTTGTCTCTCTCCTGGGGAGCGTTTCACAGGGCTAGAGGCAGCAGTCTTGTGGGGGAGGGGGTCTGGAATCTCCACCCATCCTTCCCATTTACTAAGATTCTGAATGAAGCTGATAGGATCTATAATTGATGCTGTCAAGATTTGTTGCTTAGGCTAATTTACGTATGTGCTCATTCCATCCATTCCACTATGGCGATATAACTGATAGTGAAATTAACCATCAGAACCTTCTCTGTGGCTTCCTAAATCTAGCAGTTGCCAATACCAACACCAACATATGGCAGGCAGGGGCCACTTGTGGTGCCAGGGCCCTCCGTTGCTGAAGAGCTGGAGGAACCCAGCCTCTCAAGGTACCTATCCTTGATTTAAGAGAACCAACTGTTTCAACTTGCTGTTTTTGCACCGCTCTTCCTAGACATCAGTTCAAAGCTGAATCCGGAAATAAGCAGCCCGGCCCTAAGAGGAAAAGGCCTCAAACCAACTGAAAGGCCTGCATCTCCAAGAGAGCTTGGCAAAATTCACAGCACATTGACCGAAAGAGAGAGCAGAGACCTCAGAGCAACTCCCTGCGGAAGTCCAGCTGTTGCTGTGAAAGGAAGGCTTTGTGGTAGCTGTGATGAAACAGAGCTTTGCAACTTGGTGTACAGCATCTTTATGTCTCTTGTTAAGGATGTGGGATTGTATTAAAAGTACACATTGTTTTGCTAAAAACTACAGTTGCCAATAAATGTACCGCTACTACAAAACATTAACGACGAAGTATATTTGTGTAAGATTCACAAAGCAAACATGAGACTGCAGAAGGCACAGCAGTAAAAGTTAGGAGCTTATCTATGGCTTTCTGCCTATCCCTTGCTTATTGAAGTTGCTTCAAGCTTGCTTAGAAAGAAAGACGAGCTCACATACTTGCACCGCCCACACCATCAGTGTTACATACCCACCAGTGTTACATACCCAAATTCTGCACAAATCCTGACTACTACAAAAACAGTAAAGCCATTTTACCCACTTAAAGCTTGCTTAACTATGGGCACTCGCTCACATCACTACAAAGCCTTAAAGAGTTTAATCACTTTATTTTTGTAAGCGTACAAGGAACTCCGAAAGCCATTTGAGAATCTGCGAAGCAAACCAGAGAAGAAGTCAGGTCCCTGCG